TCAAATTAATCAAAAGCAAGATCATAGAAATAGTACTAGAGTTGTTTCTTAAAACTAGAAGTAGTTTGTCTGACCTTTGGTGCATAGCAAAAGAAAGATGCGTCCCCAAACTTAAGAGGTCGATTTCATTTGTTAATGTCATTTGTCAAACGGAAATTCTGTAAACTCACAGATTCAGTCAGTGATTCATGTTGACGGATGTATAACATCAAAATTTGATGCTTCAAGTTCCAGCTAGCCTGTGTTTATAGATTTTAACATCACTATCCAAAACCATCAGACAAGCACTGGTATGGTTCTCATTCCGATAGAATTGACAACGTGAGCCATAAAGCCTGAAGCTATAAAGCGGAGAGAGACTGAGATGATGCTGAGGTGGACTCCACCGTAATATATAATATATTTAAATGTGTGTCAAGTCTCTTATGGGATATTAAATGGTACCAAGCTCATGAATCTCATTTGTGGCAGAAGAAAAAGAGGCACAAGAGAGTGTTCAGTTTATACCTTCAGGTGATGAGGGTATGTCTTAATAGCAGCTCTCTTTACTCTTTAAGATAAAATCACCTGAATGTGTAAAATAATTCTTGGCTTGTTTAGAAGAACAGAATTAATGATGTGAGTGATGGAGTAACTGCGTTGTGGCATTTGATGTTCATTCGTGTTTGGACAAGCTCAATCAAACTACGACACATGTCTGTATATTGATCCATCACCTCTCTTATGTTTGCCTTATGTTTTTTTCCCTTAAGTCCTATTTCATGTTAACGTCTGTGTATTGTTGCCACTGAGGTCTTCACAGGAGTCACGCTGCTCTGCCTCTGCCTGTCATTAGTTAAATAAGGGATGCTGCATTCTTAATCACTTTCCCTCTCGCCCTCATTATTTTTCTGTCAAGCCGCACTCGGAAGAGTTTGTCTAGGGTGCTATTTACTAACACATCCATCTTACAACCCTCCCATTGCAGACAGTGTCCCTCTTTTGATGATGATTAATTTAATTTCCAATGGATGTCAAAGTGTTGGCTGGGAATTCGGGAGCTCAGTCTTTAAGTGTCTTTCAAAGAAGAAAGCGGAAGACCAAAAAGCCCTTTGATTTACTGCGCGTCGTCTTCGCTCCTTGTTATGTTTGATTCAGGCAGGAATAATTCCCCTCTACTTTGGAGACAGAAAAGAAAGACCAGCTGGGACCAGCCTTGTCAACATAGGCTTGTTGGTTTTGTAGACCTGCCGTGGATCCAGACATCAACAGGCTTAGAGAAAGTTTCCCACCTTTTAAGGTTTAAGTTTGTGTGTCTGCACCCGACGCTCTGATCTTTGCAACAAGCTTCCCTCCACTGTCAAGAAAGTACACACATGCTTCGGCATTTAAGTCCACTAGTGAGCCATCTCTGACAATCCCATAATTCCCCACTTCATAAGTCATACCTGTGTTCTGAATCTGTCGAGTATACTATACTGTCAGACTTTGGCAGGTTACCCTGATCGTCTTTGATTATAAAGCAAGTTCAAGCTGCTATATAAATAATGTGAAAGTAAAGACTGTCAGGTTGAAGGAGCCAATGATCCTGGCAAAGCTAGCAAGAGCAGGCTACACTTTGAAAATAAGCAACCGATACATCCTACCCCCTCCCATCAGCCCTCTCATCAAAGCTGAATAAAATTCTCTGTACGTTCCATTATACTAGAGTTTTCAATCTGGTAACATTAGCCTGCTCTGCACCGGTAGTGATTCATTTTACGTCTATCTTTACGTCAGCTATGACTGGTTTGCCTGAGCTGATGACGGGAGCAGCCACAGTGTCAGAGAGACAGAAAACGCTACAGATACAGGGAGCTTGGTGGAAAAGCCTACTGAGCATCCTAAACATTTTCCGATGCCCCAGATGAAAACAAAACATGAGGAAAGATTTAAGTCTAAAAATGTGATGGACGACAAGGTCAAACATAGATTATGATTGCTGTGGCTTTTTCCTTGCGAGAGAACACATTCATAGTGTAATTACTCTTACTGCCAGAGGGGGAGACAACGTTTTCACCCTGCAGGTTTAACTTCCTCTTAAACAAACCGTTCATGTTTCTCTGAGCGTTCAGCACATGCTCAACATTAACCGAGGCTGCTTTGCATGAGGATTGTTCAACCGCTCCTCTTATGTTCTTTATGTTCTTAGGCCTGTTTTCTGTTTTGGACATGAAATAGTTCTTGGAGGGCTTGTTTGTCACTGGCATTTAGACGCTTGTACCACTCATCACTTATGATCTGGATGTTTTCATTTGTCACATCATCATCCATCTGTTCCTCATTTTGAATTATGGTTAATAACACTTCTTGCTCACATGTGGTTCTCAGACATTTTTTCTCATTCTACTTTATCACACATTTCTCAGATGATCAACTAGTTCATTGTGTTAATTGGTTTTAATTTGATTGCGAAATCTTCTGATGATTTTTATCCAGACTAAGATTGGTTTATGTACAGTTCTTATGAAATTTTACACTGGAGTCATAAGGTCATGGGCTTCACAAAAAGAGCACGAGACGTTTGGACATGTTTGCTCTTGTACCTTAGGGATCCAGGTCGGGTTTTGATTTCATGGTTGGTTAGGAGTCTTATTTTATGTTTTACTTTGTTTAGTTGATCCTGTAACTAGATCTCCACAGCAGCAGAGCTGTTTCCTTAGATACACTCTGCGTTGGACCCCTCTGGAGAAGAAGTATATATTATTCTATGAAGAAAAAGCTCAAAGTGAATTTATATTTAAATCGGAAAGTTGAAACAAATAACAAAATGTATGTATATTTATCTATTATACTGAATATATACAATT